AAAGCACGGGAATTAATTTGTGCCAGCTTTTGACTCTGTCTTGTCTTTCGACGACGACGTTATATTATTAAAAAACTACGCCCCATGCTTTACTAAGGAATAAACTATTCAAATAAATTTATCTATCGACATTTTCTAACTAAAAATAAAAACCGGAATTGGTTACCTACAAAAATAAACTCTTTTTTCCTATTTTGTGTAACTTCAGGCTATGTACGAAAATTGTTTAAATACATACGTGTAATGGAATAACGTATATATATATATATATGTATTATATATATATTGGCATTACCTAACCCACTAACATTTTATGTAACACTCAGTTTTGGTATATTTCTTCTATTATATTATCTTTATTAATATTAGAACTAGACGTCAAAATTATTTCTCAATCCACCAACATACGTTGAACATCTCGATACCTCCAATGAACATTACACCTCTTCTTTCTTTATTACTTTACACAAATTTTTCGTGTATTTTTGGAATTTTGCGTTTTGTATCTTTTTTTCCCACAAAATTCAGGGAGCATTATATTGGTAAATAAATATGGCTGTTTACAAAAATAACAGAAAATTAAGGTTGGCGAAGTGTTCATTAGGAGGGAGGAGGTTCAAGAGGAGGTATTGAATCATATGTTTTCAGAAACAATAAAGGATAAGCGGTTTGCAGATCAAGAAGGATGTCTCCACTTATTGCAAACCCTGTTTCAGGATAAAGTTGAAGGAAGAAAAATTTCTCCTTACCTAATAAATGGGTACAATTAACATCAATAATTAATCGTGGAGTACACACAGTATAACAACGAGAGCGTTTTCGGAACGCATCATGGATTAATTAATATCTATTACATACATTATTTACACAAACATTAGAGAGTTTCATCTTGGGAAACTTCTTACAAATTTTTACCGAAATTATGCTTACTTTTTTCAATTATTTATTTCACCATACACATACTCGTTTCATTTTTTTTTTATTTTTAGTTATCGGTGACAATGAACACAAAGTTTAGCCTAATAAATACGGACTACAAGGATTATTAGAAGACATTTTTTTATTATTATTTTAGACAGTAATTTTGCTTATAATCAAACCGGACAATTCTTTGAGCTCCAGGGGAATAAAAAAAAAACAATAATGTCACAATATGAACAATAATTAATTACTAGAGACGTAAAATTTGAGCACACGATTCCCTCTACTATAAAATTAATTAAAAACTATCTTAGAATCACTATTACACTGACTCCTATTGTGACTGGTAGTTTGTGGACGAACATCAATTCAATATTAATCGATTATGGAAAGGGAGTATTTACAAAATGAATTTGATTCTTAATTAACGATTTTAGACACTTGCCACATTGATAATACATAAATTTATGTAACTGTTTAGCTTTGATCTCAAGGGTGTAATCGCCACGACACATAATAAGTGAAAAATCACATGTAACATTTTAGTGTGTTTTTTAACTCCCGAGTGAAGGGAGGAGTTACAAGTTTCATGCATTGAAACCATTTTTTTTTTGGAAATCCGACGTCAGTACCTTGATCTGACGCTGCAACTAGGGCTGTCCGCAGACTGCTAAATTCCTCAACTATTTACAACGGAACCATCGCGTCTAGGCGCACGAAAAGTTGTTGTCCAAAGTTACCATGCGTAAACTTTGGACTTCTGGACGTTTTGGACGTCGCGGCCTTTTTTATTTTTAAGTGTTAAGAAAACTACTGTACCCATTGACCTACCAATAAATGGACATCGAGTTCGCGCTTAAAAGTGTCCGCATCTATAGGGCGTAAAAATTACTGCAGTAAAGTGTAAAAACAGGGTTTTGTATCATATTTTCACTAAACAAATATATTGTGTTATCATAGTTCTCATTTAAAAATGTTATTTTGTACAATTTATAAAACTACACAAACATACATATTATTTTCATTTTACTACATAGTATTTAATTTATATATATATGAATCGTAACTATAAATTACAAAAGCACACAAAATAATCAAATAGCTAACTGTCCTTTTTCTACACATTGCATGCGCGAAAGATGGAAAGAGATCCATTGTGTCAATTTCAAGAAGCTTATATATAAACTTCTTGGTCATTTTCAATTGTTCGAACCACAAGCGATTGAAATATTTAGAATAAAGAAACTATAGAGTCGCTTTGATTTTAATCTTATTTTTAAAATGATTTTTAATTAAACGTTAGCAATAACCATTGACTTACAAATAAATGGACGACGGGTCTAATACAAAAACCACGAAAAAAATGTCCCAAGTCAACCTATTCGAAATTTAAATTGTTATGTCATCGCAGTATCGCGCTGTCCGTAGAACAAATGAAGACTAAAGCGGAGTGTCGCGCTCTGTATACGATTTTAGCGCCTTACAAGTGCGGACACTTTTTAGCGCGGACCCGACGTCCATATAATTGTAAGTCAATGGCAATAACTAATAAAATATTATTGTACTCGTTTTACGGCTTGGGATTACCTATTAGAAGTCAGAAAATACATTTGCCCGAAATAACGTTCGACTTTTCATGTCAATTGTATTTTTTTTAGAAAGATTACAAAATAAAAATTTTGTCTTTGTGAAAAACATTAAAATTACACGAAAGCGTAACGGTTTTATTATGAATCGGTTTTCGGAATTACGGATATTTGAGTTTACGTTTAGTTGGAATATCGGTACATTTCTTATAGTACACGCTTCTTTTTTTTACATTTGTAGTAATATTTGTATGTATGTACCTGCCCAACTCTTTATTATTTCTTTAAGTGAATTTGTACAAAATTCGACATAATAATATATATAAAAATTAATTAATATTTACGATAAAGGCTACTCCATTACTCTTGTGTTCAAGTAATTTTCAGTCGAAGCCACATATGGTGCATTTTGTTAAATTTCCAGTAGAAGCTGAATATGGTGTTTTGGGCCTTTAAATTGTTGCAAGCAAAATTAGGCAGTACTGCAATGACGTTACAATTTAAATTAAATGTTTCAGTTTTTTATATTTCGTTACATGTCTCTACGTTTGTATAGGTTAACTTCGGACATTTTTTTCGTGGTTTTTGTATTAGACCCGATGTCGATTTGTTGGTAGGTCCAATGACTGTACCATTAATTTTTTTCGAATTCTTAGATTATCTGTCGTTAACAAACTGTTGCGATCTCACACAGCTACTTTAGGTAGCAAATGAAGTGCCGCTTAACACTCGCAAATTTAAAAAAATACCATACAATTTTACGCGATTACAGCTGCTTAAATGGAAGGTTGTATTCACCACTGCTGTGAATTGAAATATTATACATACGGGCCGACTGGTAATTGATAATATAATGGATGGTGTAGAAATCTAATTTTCATTGACCACAATGGCGGATACGCCCTATGAGATCGAAGTGTAACCTAATCTGGCTCCATAAACATCATTCGTGTTCAAACTTTCTACCTCACCGTCAATTCTATCGGGCCTACCAAATACTTTATTAATGATACATAAAATCGGACATATTAACTACATATTTACATTAAAGATTCGACACAAATCTTTATATTTAAATAACATCAAATTTATATTTCTTCGCTATTTACAGCCAGCGTCAATGTGGCCTGTACACTAAAATTAACTAAATATCTACTCGTTTTCCCACACAGATACTGGTCTTCACTATTTTAATAGCCTATTAGGGATTCTATTGTTGGCATTTAAATCCAAAAAAATTACTGCGACAATTATTTGCATTCTTTAATAATCTGTAAGTGTTCTTACGATACGTACTGCATAAAAGGCAAACTTCGGGTTGTTTATGGTTCGATTTAGAGTTTTTTTCCTAGTTTACAGTCCATTTAATGCATTAAAACCAGACTAATATTCAATATTGTTTAAAGTTAGAAGTGAATTTGTCGGACAACAGGTGGGTGCAGCTGTAAGGACGGACCGCCGTCATATACCTTCAAAATATACCGTATGCCACACCGCTTGTAAGTCCGTTTTCAAATATTACACGTTTAAACGAAACGTTGCTGGTCTGGTGCTAAAGCGCTCAATTGAAGATATATCCTAAAGTTGTTCGATCAGTAAAATGACCTTCTTGTCAGGTGGCCTAAAATCCACTGTATAGAATTAGCAAGCTAATTTAAAATTTTCAGTTATGAGTCAAGTAGATTATAAGTAGGTACATAATGTAAATATTATATGCACAGGCGATATATCTTAGAAGAGAACTTATGAATATTTTTTTGTGGTTTTATACACAAAGTCAAACCACAATCCATGTAGTATACAGATAGAGTAAAATATGAATTTTTAGCACAGGTTTATGTGTCTAACACACTTCTAATACTGAATTTGTCTTACCAAATAATATTTTATAATAACTATTTTACACATTTCGCTCAAAAAGAGCGACTACTTAAAGAAGAATTAAAAACTACGACTATATCATTTCCAAATCTAATATTTACTGATAATGAGACTCATCCTTTAGTATGTACTTTCTCTTTCTCCTTTTGTATAATTATACACTTTGAACAATTCTCACATTTTTGGTACAATATGTGACATTCGTTTACAATAAATAGTTTAACACTGATAGGACTCAAGGTCAAAATAATTCATCAAAGTTCATAAAAATCTATGAGACTTATTATGGCAAATCTTACACTAATCGCTAACGTTAATCGAATTAAGTTTTTCATATAAATTAGAAATTAAAATGTACTGAAGGTCACAGGTGTTAAATGACATTAACACATATCGACAGATCTTTTCACGATGTTACATGCTCATCGAATTAATGCTAACTAGTCAATGTATTCTTCCAATATAACAATTACTTGATGAGACTTTGTCCAATTTAATCATACACATAAGTTAATCAGTAATATAGACAACACTGGTTTCGAAAATGTAACGTTTCTCCAAGTCTACTAAAATTCCGTTATTAATACAATGTTGATTTTAAAAATCTTTCCAAAGGTATAGTCACAGAGTTTTATATGACAATGCACAGTATTCTCACACCGCATTGTGTGGCGGGATCGGGCAAGCGTCTGTCAGCGACAGAGACAGACAGCCCTGTGAAATCCGTGATAACAATTTGAGCATAGTTAGCCTCCAAGTCATTGATGTTCCGATTTTACTTAGACTCCGACGTCTTCATCCCTTCAGTAAGACGAGATACCTGTAAAGGTTAAATATTAGTTGCATAAATGCAATTTATTTACATCCGATATCCAGGAACTGACGTAGATGTAACAGTTACTAAAATACGTATCACGCTACATGTCTCTAAATGATTTGGAACTGGATTATCAAAGAAGAAATAATGACGTATTAATTTGTAACTCATAGCACAAGAGATGTTCATGTGTTCTTTTCATTAAAACCTTGTTTCACCGTGCAGACATCGAGCAGATACACGATACAGATAAAAGAGATTGCTGCAGGAAACGCAAATAATAAAATGGAAGCCTGGAAAAGAGAAAATAAGTAAGCGACAAACAGCGTAAAGCACCTGCAATCACCTCAACAGGTAGCGAGCTCCTGCGAGGGAGTTGTGTTATAGTCCTGTCTTGCCCGCTGTAGGTTTTAACAAGCCATTGCTGGCACGTCACACTGGGATTCGGCTTCCTCCGACCGCCGTTCACGCTATGGCGTAAAGCTCCCAGAGCTGCCAGACCACGGAATTCCGAAGGAGCCACCGGCGCCGGAGCTGAGCCCCGACGTCTAGTCCAACACTCCTTCCCAGACAATGTCCGGCGAAGTAACTGGGGTATAGCTGCTGTCATCTCGCGCATCTTCTTCTCTTTTGGAGCTGAAAACGATATGCGTCGCTGTAAGTATCATATTAGTGGATCAACTACCATTGAGAGATGTTTACAAAATCCTTACTGTATGCCACTGCGTCGGTGGGCATTGATTTCCGACGCCGCAACAGTTGATCAGGAGAAACGATTTCCAGCTGCATGGAAGTCATGTTGTCCCTGAGTTGGCTCCCGAGAACAAGCGATTCGCGCTGCAACCCGCCCGAGGCCTTGGTAAGCGGGTCAAGATTCTCTTTTTCTAAATTACGTGAACACTCGGTTACATCTACATTACTTTCAGAAGCGTCATCGATATCAGTCTTATCGGTATCATTTTTTTTGAATATATTGCTTAGTCTGTCATCATTTTTGTCAAACAATCCGTTTTCAGTCTTGGAGTATCGGGACGGGTATATGGCGTCCTCGTTACTCGTGTGAAGAGGGCGCACGGCTAGTGCGTGGGCGCGGGCAACGGTCTCTAACGGCGGGAATGTTTGTTGGCGGGTTAGCTTCCAGGTGCAGCCGTCCTTCAGCACGGTGCTGAGCCTAGTGGCTTGCACCGGTGTTGTGATAGAGGCTATCGAAGAATCTGGCAATAGTTTCTCCGTGCTAAGGACCTTACTGGCCGAGGTGTGACCGTGCTCGCAATGTCCGCGCACGCTCAGTTGAGAGTGAAGCGAGTGCTCGCTGCCCATAAGACTCGTGTTGCCGCGACTGCGAGATTCAGTTGCAGAAGATGCTCTACTTTTTTCCCTGTTTTTATACTTTGTATCCTGGAAAACGTTGAGTGGCACAGAGAACCGGCGTAGTTGTTCTTTAAGACTTCCCTGCTTAGTTGGATTTAAGGAGCTCCTACGTAGAGGCAAAAGTAGTTCGGAGCTGTCTGAAATGTTGGTACCAGAGCAGGTTTCCAGGTCATCGTCAACCAGATCAGCGTCAGATATTTCAGTTTTGGTTTCTTCGGCCATTTCTTGTTGCACTAACATTTCCCATTTGCTTTGATTGTATATGAGATTTTGCAACATTTGCTCCGAGAGATCGTTCTGAAGGAACCTGTGCCACTCGCTAATGAGTGGGGTGACCACGAATTTAAAGAAACCTGAAAAGTAAAAATTATATTGTTGACTAATTTTTAACTCTATTTATTACGTTATTACCACCACCACGATATTTAATTATTTTTGTTAAATTCCAAAAAAATCCTTCGATCCTGCTGGATTCGAACCAACGTCTTCTAGCAAACCGTGGTAGGCGTTATATCAACAAAGCCACGGAATCGACTAGCAGACCCTACGAATTTTTCTACATGCTTGTTGCAGATCTTTGTATTAATAATTATTATACATTGTTTACTGTTAAGGGCGACTAATTGAAAGTAACCAGGTACTACAGCACAACAACTAGCCATATATTAAGCCAATTAGTGAACGTGTATTGATTAATGTTAGATCTAACAAGGTTGACCGCTGCGAGTTACATCGCATCTTCCCCGCAGATGTCAATTTAATCGTAATTTGAGCAATAACGCACAACAGTAGGCTAATTGCCAATAGTTACAGCCCGTGGCTATTTCTGCAGATTATCGGATCAATTAAGAAGCACTAGGCCATACGATTTTTCTTGTATTACGTAGGCTTTTTAACATCTCTGAGACGTGGTAACTCACTACAGGCTTAATAAAAAAGCTCATAGTCATTCAACGAGTCATGGAGCGAGCAATGGCAAATTCTTTACGTGATCGAATCAGGAATGAGGAGATCCGTACAAGAACGAAAATCACCGACATAGCCCAAAGTATTAGCAAGTTGAAGCGGCAGTGGGCAGGGCACATAGCTCGCAGAACTGACGCCCATTGGGACAGAAAGGTTCTCGAATGGAGATCACGAACCGGAAGGCGTTCAGTGGGAAGGCTCCCTACTAGATGGATGGATAACCCATGGATGCGCGTCGCGGCCGAGTGGCTAGTCTGACAATCTTTGGGGGAGGCCTATGTGCAGTGTATTGGACGTCTTCCGGTTGATATGATGATGATATGTTTAAATAATGTTTACTAAGCAGGAGTTATCTTTAAAAAAAGCAGACTTTTGAGATTTGAAGTTTTTAGAGATGTGATGATATACACACATCAAAAAAAGTTTGCGATCACTTCGAAAAACTGAAATCTTTTTTGTTACTTTAGATTATATTATGATTTTTTCTTCTTTTTAGATTCTTTATTTAAAAATAAATTAGAACATAAAACAATGACCCCGTTCAATTGTTTTTTCATATAAAAAGGCTTTCAGTCCTAGCTTACGCTCATTCAGAAATCTGATTTAGTCAATTATAAGCGATTCAAGATATTTTTCGCGGAAAGTTGTGATTGAAAAAATGCCAAGAGGATTATCAGAGGTTTTACGAGCTAGAATAGTAACTTTGAGGGAAGAAGGATACACCACGAGAGTAATAGCACGCAGACTTGCTATATCCCAATCCTGTGTCGTGGCTACGTTGCAGAGGTATCACGGAATGGGCAATTTAGCTGACCGACCCCGCAGCGGTCGCCCAACTGTTTTGACAGCTGCCCAAAAGCGCTATATTAGATTGCTGGCAGCCCGTGATCCAACAATCAACGCCACTAAAATAAAAGCAGAAGTCAGGGCCGCCTCTGGGCTTGAAGTTAGCACGCAGACCGTTCGCAATTGCTTGCACCAGCCTGGATTACGAGCACGGAGGTCTTGGCGAGCTCCGCTCAATTCCCGGCAACGTCAACAACGAAGATTGCAGTGGGCTAGACTTCGGCAAAATGAAGAAGGTGAGGACGAAAACATTTGGCAAAACTGTCTCTTCGTTGACGAATCCCGAATCAGCACTCATCCAGATAACCGACGTGTCCGTGTCTGGAGAAGACCAGGCGACCGTGAAAGACAAAGAACTGCCACTGGAACAGTTCAGCAAGGCGGAAAATCGGTGTCCTTTTGGGGTGGCATTATGATTGGAGCTAGAACGCCTTTGATCCCGTATCGGGGCTTCATGACAGCAGACATGTACAAAGCAGTTGCTATTGATGATATCGTCAGACCATTCCGAGTAAACCATGGGCACCAATTTGTACTGGTCGATGATAATGCGCCCGCACATCGAGCTCAACGAGTCAATGCTGCTCTTCAAGAATACGATATCACACGATTAGACTGGCTTGCCGGCTCGCCCGACTTAAACCCAATAGAGCACGCGTGGAATGCTCTTAAACGAGCAGTATGGAACCGTGAGCCACGTCCCCAGACAGTTCCAGAGCTCAGGGAAGCCGCTATTGAAGAATGGGATAGGTTACCCCAGGAAATGCTGGATAACTTGATCCTCAGCATGCCCAGGAGGATCTTCGCATGTATTCGAGCCAGGGGAGGAGTTATTTTATATTGAATTCACACCTTTTAATAGTAAATTGTTGTTTAAGTTTAATTAAACAGTCTTTTTCTTTCTATGAAATTTCTATCACTATTACATTATGATTAATGGCTCAATTTTTTAAAATAAATAATAAAAAATAGTTTTATATTTTAATTTCAAACAGGGTATTCCTATTTAAAGAAAGCATACAACATAGATTTTTTCTTGATAAAGTTAAATTTAAAGAATTATAGGAGCTTATGCTATTGATCGCAAACTTTTTTTGATGTGTGTATGATCAAATGAAAAAAAAAATCGATTCAAATATCTTATCGAAATAATTTGTAACGAAGAGAGAATCGATTTACGAAAAATAATTAAGGACAAAAAACATTGACTTACAAATAAATGGACGACGGGTCTATCGGGTATTTAAACGTAGTGACATGTAAAGGAATATGAAAAAGCTAAAACATTGAATTTAAATTGTAATGTCATCGCAGTACTGTTTAATTTTGCTTGCTTCGTTTTCAGTCAAACAAACGAAGACTAAAGCGTGAATGACGATACGATTTTAGCGCCCTATAAGTTCGGACACTTTTTAGCGCGGACCCGACGTCTGTTGTAAGTCAATTCAAATTGTAAGTCAATGACAAAAAACCAACAAAATAAAAACGATTCAATTATTATGTTATTAAGTTACCAAAAAAACTTAACAGCAAATAAAACATCGATGAATGAAACAACCAAACGAAAAGTCAACAACAAAGCATGAAATCAACCAGCAATGAAACGAAATTTGAATAATTACTCCAAAAACAACACGCGAGGCTCAAAACAAACGGAAACACCAAAGCCGATTCAATTTATCGATTTTATGTTGTTAATCATTGATATTATATTTCGTTTTACGTGTCAAGTAATTAGGGTTATTTATTTTTATCTTTATCACTACATTTTCTTTCTACTTAGCATACTGTAATTTTTATTTAAAATTACAACTGCAACATATATTGCTTGTTCTTGGTACGTTTTGACAAATTTACTATTTCTATTTGTAACCTGATTGAGAGGGTGGTTAGAAATAGTATGCGTGTAACGTAATAATTGGAAATGTCACTGGACTCATCCTATATGAAATGGACTATAGTTACGAAGGCTTTCTTTGAGAAGAGCCTTACATACAGTGAACGAGTTGGTAATAACCAGTTATCGGAATTCAAGAAGTTCATTTAGCGAAAGTAAGAATAATATGGACATTTCCTTCTACATTTTGGAATGTTTAGAAAACAAACAAGAAAAAAAAATTATACGCATTGATGACGAAACGGGTATGCTCATACTAAAAAAAGTTTGTACTTTAGGTAAATTAACTCCCTAAATTTTGATTACTGATAATAAACCTTAATAATGGTTTACCTGTGGCGTATTAAATATGAGCTTAAAACATTGACGAAAATACAATAAACTTATATGAATTGAACCTTTTAGAACCATATGATTATTAATTCTGATTCCATGCTTATTTTTTATCTGTTGTTCTTTGAGTTAATAGCGACTCGGAAGTCGTTCAAGAAGTTACAATTCTAAGTGTCCAGTTACACGACAAGAAAGGTTTCGTGAGGCCACCACGCGCTAACCCTAAGGATTCCAAGCTTTCACGTACATTAATGGTGAAACTGAATTCTATTTACTAGGCAACAACCATGTCAATGGCAACAACATTTAAATTGCTCAGAACGGTATATTGAAGTAGAGACATCAATAATACATGTTCATAAAAAACTGACATCAACGTCAGTTTGTGGTAACTGCAACGTTACCGGCTGAGTGAGACGGTTCATAGAATCTCCCACAGATGTCGCTTACGGCGTGGATTTGTGGAATGCCGAAAACTCAATGCAAAAAACAGACACGTAGAAGAAATTCATCGACTTAGCAAACTCGACCTATAGCTTAGTTGATAAAGCATTGTGACGGAATCTCATGGTCGCAGGTTCGAGTCCTGTCGGGTCGAAGTATTAGATAATTATAACGTTGTTTGTGTTCATTGTGGATATCAAAGCAACAAATATTGAATTCTTGGACAGCACCTGTCTGGATCTTCGGTATGGACGTTGTGTGCCGATCGCAAAGAGCTGTAACTGGCAGATTAAGTTTCCTCTCGTAGTCTCCTTGTCGGAAGAACTCCTCGCAAACCTTAAGGCTCCACTTCCTGCTGATTTCCCAGGGTCTGCAGGGGTTTGATATGTCAGCGCATTTCAGAGCTATCTGGAGCACTAAATGTCGGTGTTCCTTCTTGGTCATGTCGAGGGTGTTAGTGTCGAGGTGGGCCTGGAACAACCGTTTACATAAGTAATTACAACAAACAAAAAAGTAAAATAACACTACGGTAAAATGAGATTTAAAAGTAGTTTTGTTTTTTTAATCGGAGCAGTATTTATAAATATGAAGCCGAAGCCTTACTGCACACTACTACATGTTTTCAAAGAAATTGCTATAATAACATCTGCGTAAAATTATATAATGATATTTATAATAATTTATTATTATATTATAATAATTTATTATTATATTATAATTATTTATTATTATACTATAATTATATTATTTACATTTTCTGACGATATAAAAAATACTACCTACGTCTAGATTTAAGAAAATACTATTTTAATTGCTTGTGACAAATTGTTTTTGTAGTGAGTTATTAACATTTAAATTGTGAAGCCTGCGACCCTCTACATATTTATTGCTTTGACATGCGGTCCTCTTTTTAACCGACTTAACAACTAGAAATTTTAATATAACCAAAGAAAGATGTAATTGCTTTTTACTTCTCCACTGCGAGAAATTTACATTCGCACAACAAACAAACACCACTGATATTAAAATATTGCCCAATTGGCGATTTTTTTGTTGTAAACATTTTTCTGTTATGTATTAGTTTGTATTACCGAATAAATTAAAAGTTTTTATAAAAATCAAGAGCCCACAACAAATCGAATTGTCAATGTAAAAGTGTCATTCACTAATCAAACAATCATGGCGATGTGCGCTGTAAACCGGTCGCGACATGTTTACAGCAGTGGCTCAGACATCTGATATCCGGCATCCGGTATCTGGCCAAATCACTATCCGTTTCATCTCCAACTTAAGGCCATCGTCAATCTAATTGAGATGTGACGCCGAGGTCGACATTTCAACACAATTTTCTATAATTTAGTTACAGAACAATTTCAAAACGAAAAAGAACTTTTGTTACTGTAAGGTTATCAAATCGTGTATAAACATGACGCACGTCTAGTACTGTACTCAAGACTTATTTATAAACTTATTTTGTTGTAGTACGTAATTCTGAGAAGCCGTTATCGCAACATTTTTTGATTTCGAAATAAAATTGCCTCAACTTCTCTATTGTCCAAAAATTGTTATTCTCGGTATAAATATTGATGTTGGGCCGAAAAGTTTTTAAATCTCTCTTAGTACACGTTTGCTCACCGCATCCAATTCGCATTCCTTCCGAATCCGAGACTACACAAATGTAGAAAAGTTGGACCCATTTCGAATGTCGCTTGTGCACTAAGTCCGATTCCAATCCGAGAAATTACGAATGTCGCTTGTGCACCTAGAGATAAAATGATCCCGGTGACAATTCGGACGCTCTTAAAATCATGACGTCATGTAATTTTGCTGTCAAAACCAATTCAATTTGCCGAACATTAAAAGTATGTAATTAATAATAATAATATAGCCCCGCGCTAGGGAAACCCTGTACCTAGATGCCATGGATACACACCTGGTGAGCTGTTGCAAAGGTCTAGTTACTTAGAATGGATTCCGGTCTCTCACAAGTGTTCCAATATTTAACATTGTTAGTCTTTATTTTCAGATAAGATACCTTGTCTTGAGAAAATGTTCTTTTTTTATTATGAAGGGAATCCGGGACCTCTGCGTGGCAGTCTAGCGTGGTAACCATTCCGCCACAGATGCAGTTAAAAATTATTTTAAAACACTCACGAAAACGTGTTGTGTTAGCAAGACACTAGCTAGTGTGAACCTCCAGAAACGATGCAAAAAATGATTTCCTAGACCATTAAAAAATAGCTTTAACAGCGCATCAAGCTTGTTGACAGAGGCGTATACTGACGGTTGCAGCGCGACAATGCACAAGAGAACTGTCTCCGTGATGCGTTGAGTGCATGACAGTTGTAATAGTCTCGTGCGTTTGATTTGGGAGTACCCTGTTATCGACATATGGAAGCATTAGAGCTCTGTTCACTTGGGTCCTAGGGGCTTGGTATATAATAATTTTTATGATTACCTCTTAACTAATATAGGCTATAAACATGGTATGAACAATTTTCGAAATAAATTGTTGATTTCATAAAGGGATAGCAAGGCTTTATGGAACTGGGCATCTGTCATGTTATTCAACTAAAAATAGCGTAAGGATATGAAAATGACGTCAAAAAAAATATAGCATCGGTAACCAAGTTAAAATAATGAATGAACTCAATCACGGTCTCGCACGTCGAAGCTGATGAAAATGAAGGTGTATTTTCTGTTAATAAAACTGGACAATAGGAACTGGGCTTCAGTATAATTTAAAAATCAAATTATATGTAGGCCATGACGTCGAGAAGGCGTCGTTTGTTAATACATATTAAACAATAGGGAATAAACTTGGAAAAAGGATTGATTACGTGGAATGAAATTGATGGAATGAACCATGACTTCAATTTGTCAAGTACGCACATATGACAATGTTTATCGTGATGTTGAAGACGGTTCAGAACTCTTGAAAGCGTGATAGGTCCCCAGCCCGGATTGGCCTGAACCCTCTCCTTAGGTGAGACCTAATGCGGAATTAAATAATTGAGGCGTTTGAAGCGACGGCCAGTATATCAATCACTCAGTAAATTTTAAACTATCTGTTTTAATTATTAATACAATGATCGAACACTAAGAAAAAATTCCTTCGATCGGGCTGCATTGGAACTAATGTTTTCTGGGAAACCGTGCTTTGGCAACTAAGCTACGGAACGAACTAGCGGACCATACGAGTTTTTCTATGTGCTTGCTTGCTTGTTGCAGATCTTTGTTTCTAGTTTTTAACGACTTTTTGCCGTAGTGCCATCTGTGGGAAATCTATGTATGTTCACTTCCACATTTTTTCTTACTTCGATTTTTGTATTAACAATAATTACATCATGATCACCATGGATCATGTTCCTTTGCAACATTATTAGAGGACGCATAAAATGTAACGAGCAGGTGGAATCTCTCCTATTCTTATTCTAAACAAAAGGTACAAACGATTTTTTATATTCCCCCGTGTAAAACTAACCTAGGTCGGCACTCGCCAAGTAACAAAATACTATTGGAATACAAGTTCCTCACCGCTTCAGTCAATATTGACATTTTCCATGACTCGCAACTGCGGCTCAAACGTAAGTTGTTGGGCCACTTCATGGAGGGTCTTGCTAATACTGAGTCTTAGAGGTATTAGTACAGTCCGTAAACTGGCTAATTTAAAAAAAAAATATCTTTCTATGTTAATAACCTACGTTAGTGTTAAGTAAATAGCATTATTGCTCATGTCAATGCTGTGCATATCTGTAATGGGTCATTACAACAGACCATGACCGTAAATGCAATATACTACCTGTTGATGTGTCTAAATAAATAGAAAAAAAAATTACATAATTAATTTTGTCGGTACATTCTATTGTTTACTGACACATTTTAACGCAACTTGGTATTGTAGTTCACCACAGAAATTTATTTCTTCACTCAGCCAGGTACCTTTACAGCTACCAGCAGCTGCTAGAGATGTCGCCGCAGTGGATGCACCTGGATGGAAGGACTTTTTCTGAGTGTTCGATCTTTGTATTAATAATTATAACAAACAAGTGGAGTAATTTCATAAAAATAATTGAATATCATTGCGGTCAAACATTGTGACATTTAATAAATTTAAAAATTATGCGTTTTAATTTATGAAGAGTGCTATCGAATACAGCTGCCAAGAAAGAAGTTTAAAAAGTTTCTACTAGTAGCTAAGTCTACCGAAAAACATGCCCGTTTCCAAATCATACGCTTGCCCACATACAGGGTCCGTCCCAAAAGTATCGAACATTTTTTTTGGGAGTGTTGCCGAACGGCGGGAAGCGCTCCGCTTGGCAACAGAAAGTGGTGGGGGGATCTAGCCGATACAGCGCGACCGGTCCCAGTTGGCTCCGAGCACCTGGAGCGGCAGGACGTGCGTTCGCGTAGAGCTCTAAACGACACCTCGTCGAAGTTTTTAAAAGTAGCGCGATGACGGATCCGTTAGAACAGAGGTACGCAGTGAAATTTTGTGTTCTACTCGGCAAAAATACTGTGGAAACCAACGAGATGATTAAACAGGCCTTCAAGGACAAAGCCTTGTCCGAATCCTCGGTCAGGAAGTGGCACAAGATGTTCCGTGACGGAAGGGAAGAGGTGACCGACGAAGCCCGCTGGTCCCGCAGCCTCCCTACAGTCCTGACGTCGCCCCGGCAGACTTCTTCTTGTTTCCCAGCATCAAGTCGAAGCTCAAAGGCAAGCATTGGGGCACAATTAAGGACATCCAAGAAGCTACGACGAGGGCGCTGAAGGACCTACCCGTTAACGTCTTCCAGGGGGCCTTCCGGGCATGGAAAACTCGCCTACAAAAGTGCATCGATGCTGAAGGGTGTTATTTTGAAGAGTACTAATGTATGGTACCGATAAGTTCAATAAAAGTATTTTTCCTGAAAAATGTTCGATACTTTTGGGACGGACCAGTTATAGTAAGATAGTGTGAGCGGCTCCGGCTCTACCATTTTTTGTAAAACACAGATGTATTTTACGAAAAATTACAGACCAAAAACGTTTTTCTTCGAGAGAATAAATAAACAGATACTTCCCAGGTATCTATTGTCACTATTACCGTTTTTATATTTGTTTTATAAACTGTAATAACCCATCGCCCTGGGTTGCGCCCCGCTGACAACGTCTCACTATTAAATCAATTACCGTACATCACATCACTTCAGGGGTCATGTAAACAGATCTTTAGTTAATCTGCCTTGTTTGTTATCCCGTAGCTAACTTTATAAACTAGTTATTGAAACTAGTTATTGCGTTCCGAAGACAAGAAACAATTGTAGATTAGATTCTACTAACAAGCGAGTTGTACAAACAGACAGCGTTTAAATTTCTACATGCACAGTGTCACAAGTGTTACTCTCGAGAACTATACTAGTATTCACGTTTGATTATCTCGTGTACATGAAATGGAACCGATGCCATTATGGCAATTAGTTAAGCTT